AGATTGTAAAAATGCAGAAAGTTTTCTGTGAGGGGTAGGTTTAGGTGTAGGGCGAGTTTGTACAGTATAAAAACATTATGCCTACGGAGAGTCCCCAAAAAATAGCAAACCAGACATGTGACTGTTTGTGTATGTGTGTGTGTGTGTGTGTGTGTGTGTGAGTGTGTGTGACTGTGTGTGTGTGTGTGTGTGAGACTGTGTGTGTGAGTGAGACTGTTTGTGTATGTGTGTGTGTGTGTGTGTGACTGTGTGTGTGAGACTGTTTGTGGGTTTGTGTATGTGTGTGTGTGTGTGTATGTGTGAGTGTTGTACCTGCTCAGGTGTGGTTGTGTGTTGTGACATCACAGCTCTACACTTGATAGTGTTTGTCGTGTTGTTCACCAGGACGGTTTTATCCTCAATCTGCAAAACCTGAATCCCGTATTTCACTGAAGATGACACACAAAACTGACAGAGCTGAAAGAGAGACAGACTTCAGTCACTGATTCCAGATTAAACTCACCCATGCAGACACAGATCACCGTAATTATAAAACACACACACACCTTGAGTTTTCCCGGCTGAGTTCCGAGTGTGATGTCCGTGTGTATGTATCCCTCCTCATCCAGCAGCAGGACGTCTGCTCCGCCCCCCTCCGGCCACCGCGGCGACGACACCTCACGGACCAATCGCACGGCAGGAGACTTGTGCACCGTGTTAGTGTGCGGCCAATAGATGCCGATCTGGAACGCGTCCTGTGTGTCACACACACACACACGTTCATTCGGGACAGACGTTACAGTGATCATGCTCTCACTCAGGTATATTGCTGTGATGCGGACAGACAGACAGACAGATACCTTAAAGTTGGGCGGTACAATGGTTTTCCCGGCTGGTATCTGCACTATAATGCTCTCTGCCTCAAACATCCAGAGGTCCCAGTGCGAGCGGTTCACCAGAAGAGCCCACGGCAGCAGCTCCACCAGCAGCGTGTTCAGACCCGCGCGCCACGCACTCAGACGCACCTGCATCGGACTGTCCCACTGCGCCACCGACTCCACCGCACACCTGCACACACACACACGCGCACACTCACACGCACGCACGCACGCGCACACGCACACACACACACACACACACACGTGTGCTGAGCAGCTGCGGATGTCAGTTTATCACACCGCTCTGAAAGTGATTCTAGTGATACCGTTCCTCTTTGTTAATGTTACAGTTGTGGTGTGAACACTATTATTACAATTTTATGGATATAGTTATAGATTGAATGCATCAAATGACACGTGTGTGTGTGTGTGTGTCTGCGCACCTGTCTGTTTGTCGGCTGCTGTAGGGCCACACCGGACCGCTGGATGTCTTCTCTCCGTAGAAGTGCTCTAGAACATCCTGCTGGTTCTGGTTCTGGTTCTCTTCTGCTGCTGCTCTGCTCAGGATCTGTTTGATAACAGCAGTGGACACAGGAACTGCACAGTGAGACGCGTCCTCTTCCTCCCTGGAACACAAACACACAATCAGCGTGAACGAGAGCAGGTCCAGTGCATCATGGGTAATGGGTCAAAAGCAACAGCCAAGACACAAGGAAGGAGGGAGAAGAGGAACTTTACAAGCTCCTGTCTGCGGTTCACTCAGACGAACACGAGAGAGAGTGTGTGTGGCTACGACTGTCTGTCTGAGCCTAACCACAGACACACACACACAGAAACACACACACAGACCGCAGGGAGAGATTCCTGTGTGTCACTACAGAACGAGAGTTTGAGAGTGTGAGTGAGTGAGTGAGTGTGTGTACCTGGCCTGGAAGGTGAGGTGGTGTGTCAGATCTTCCTCCACGCTCAGCAGCGCCTCCTGGTGGCCGCGGCCGTGAATGAGCTGCGTGTCTCTGTGACCCAGACTCCTCTTCTCCACGTGAACCAGAACCGGATCCGGCAGGTGACTCCACATCATGAAGAGAGGACTGAACACAACCTGAACACACACACACATGCAGCATCAGTGCATGAGACGAACACGTGTGTGTATGTGTGTGTGTGTGTACTCACCACTCTCCGCTGCATGTGTGTGTTTGGCTCCAGCAGGATTCGTGTGCACCAGACATGCAGCAGTGATCCATTAGAACACGGCACCTGCACACGCACACACACACACACGCTTGTTACGACACCCTGATGGTTCGGCCTGTAATCTGTCATTTCCTGAGCTTGAACACAGCGGCTGATGTTGCTCATTCAGTGAGTCTCTGGACAGGAAGTGCAGGGGTGGACACAGGAAGAACAAACTATCCATGGTCTCACAGCACAGTCCCATCAGACGTGATCACGCCACACACTGTGCGTCTCAAGAATGTGTTTCAGATCAGACGTCATGAGATGATCTTGTGTATTGCTCTTGTAACACTGACAGGACGAGCTGCGTTTGTTTCAGTTACACTATTGATACAGCTGACGGGAGGATCGTTCATTCTGATTATTGATGTTTAATACATGCACCTGTTTATTGAACATCATTCTGCTGGTTAAATCAGTACAGTGTGCTCACAGTGATCCGTCTTTACTGATTATTGACGGCGACTCACCTGCACCACAGAGCTGCTGTGTTTGTCGCTGTGATCCAGACAGACGTCCTGTGACCAGGCGTCATCACCGCAGGCGCGCACACACAGCTCCGTCAGCTCCGCGTCCTCCAGCACAAACGAGGCCAGTTTGCTATCTGGCTCCAGACGGGTGACACGCTCACGCAGCTCCAGCTGACCGTCCTGACCCGTGTAGTGCTGCACCAGCCGCAGCTCGATGCACTGATGAAGAAAACTACACACCACCTGCCTGCCACAGATGATCACCTGACAGAGAGAGAGAGACGCGAGAGTGAGAGAGTGTGTGTGTTTGAGTGTGTGTGTGAGAGAGTGTGTGTGTGTGTGTGTGTGTGAGAGAGTGTGTGTGTGTGTGTGAGTGTGTGTGTGTGTGAGTGTGTGTGTGAGTGAGTGTGTGTGTGTGAGTGAGTGTGAGTGTGTGTGTGTGTGTGTGTGTGTGAGAGAGTGTGTGTGTGTGTGTGAGTGTGTGTGTGTGTGAGTGTGTGTGTGAGTGAGTGTGTGTGTGTGAGTGAGTGTGAGTGTGTGTGTGTGTGTGTGTGTGTGAGAGAGTGTGTGTGTGTGTGTGAGTGTGTGTGTGTGTGAGTGTGTGTGTGAGTGAGTGTGTGTGTGTGAGTGAGTGTGAGTGTGTGTGTGTGTGTGTGTGTGTGAGAGAGTGTGTGTGTGTGTGTGAGTGTGTGTGTGTGTGTGTGTGTACTTGTTTCTGGACTCCTGTGAGCTGTTTGACTCTGATGATGAGAGTGGCTGTCTGTCCTCTGTGTTGGATGGTTCTCAGTAAAGTCCCTGCGTCGTCGACACTGAAGGGTTCGGCCCAGCGCCAGTTCCCCCAGCCCTCCATGCAGATGTGCAGCAGCTGAAACACACACAGTGTCAGTATCAGTGCAGCAGGGACAAAACTGCAACGTCCACCAATTTACCGGCCATAAATATTATTTTTACTGGCTGTGAGACTGTATTTGCTTTTTTTTTTCTGATAAAATTTGTGAATGCAATTTATAATGGGATTTTTTTTTTATATTATGATTGATGATTATTTTTGTTTATGTATATATATGTGTGTGACTCTGCAGTGAGCGAGCTCTGTTCTGCTGTTCATCACACACTAACCCTGTTTGTCAGATTCTGGTAACACTTGATCCACATATGAACAAAAACACTCAAACATCATCTCATGATCATACAGAGAGACAGCAGCACAATAACACAGACACACACACACACAGAGAGTATAACAACAAAACACGTGAGACAGGCAGGACATGACTAGCACTTACACAATGCGTTCATTAGATCCCGATTTTCCAAACAAACTTACAGATACTCCCTTCACTGCACATGAGTGTGTGTGTGTGTGTGTGTTCATGCTGAAGTGCTGGCAGTGTGAACTCTTGTTTATCATTCCTATGAAGTGTTCATGAATCTGGAGTCTGACAGAGAGCCTGTTGGGTCAGAGTGAGATCACATCGACTCTGAACTGCGCCGCTCAAACTGTAAAGTCAAACAAATTAGTGTGCGGGTCAAGGCGCGCAGTGACCGCGGTCAGGCCTGATCCTCGCGCTTTCCCGGCCGTTTGAAGGTGGATTCCGTTACGAAAACACGGCCAATCAAAGGCTGAAGTCAATTTGAGCAGATCTTCCTCCTCCAGAGGGCTGCCGAGTGGAAATGACATAATTTCTCAGATCTCTGCGCCGTATTACTCATCAGGAAGCGGCGGCCCGAGCACCTCGACCTTCTTTACTTTTACAACAGCCCATTTTCTAGCGCCTGTGGCCGAGCGCGACCTTCAGGGAGAAGCCATAACAGCGGCCCTCGCCTCACATCAAACACCCGCCGCACGTGTTTGAGTTCAGCCGCGAGACAAACGGCCAACTGGACAAGCAAAACACACGTAAGAAACACTACGACCTGAACGAAATGACAAAACATGCTGCGACCGTGACGGACGTCAAACACAGCGACTGACACCAAACGCATCATCTGGAGGAACCGTGCTGATTTGATATCAGTGTTTTCACTGCATTACAGTTGCTGAAACTCATGGGTTTGACGTTTCTGAGCGCAGATATTCACATGTAGCTGCGTAACCACGGAAACCAGCACAAACACGCAGCTCCCACTCATGAGTCGTTCACACACCCATCCACACCAGCAGCCGTAACTCAAACTGATCTCTGGGAAATTATGGACGCAGCTATAATTGCGATGGGCCGCCTGGGGTTCGTTCACTATTCAGGGACTCGACGTGCTGTTGGCTGCGCATGACCTCATCACAGCCCGAAGGAGTTTGTTTCTGTGTCCAAACAGCCAGCGTGTGAAAGAGGCCCGAGGACGCGCTAAAACTGCAAGATTTATTCATTATCTGTGTGTGAGAGTGTGTGTGTGAGTGAGTGAGAGAGTGAGTGAGTGTGTGTGTGTGTGTGAGAGAGTGAGTGTGTGTGTGTGTGTG